TTTTAAACAGGGCCGTATGGTCCTGGCTCCTTCTATTCTGGGGAGCATCAGTCCGGTTCCTATTCCTCCGGCAAGTCAAATTTCACATTACATCATTGATCACTCACACACGCTTCCTTCCGTCAGGCCGAAGGACCCCTGAGCAGCATTGATTACTCCCCTGCGGGAGGATTGACTGTCAGCTTGCCTTTTCCTTCTCTTTCCTCTCAGACCGGGAATCCAGATCTGTCAAATAAAGCCTTTGACCCTAGAAAGAGCTCATTTGTTATCCTTACCTAACCGAAAATTTTCCCGTAAAACATCTTTGCCCCCCTTTGGGTGGACAACCATTTATCCTTAAGCCCTAAACCCTCAGCCTACCCTCCTAACTTCGATCATCGAAATTAGAACCTGGCAGGGTATTCGTCAGCTTTCGGACCCCTGAGGTAGGATCTTCCTCTGCAGCCCCCGTTCATGTTCCAGTATTGTCATCATCCCCAACTCATCTTCCTAAACCCGCATGTTGTCTGAGCCCCCTGGGTTTCTTGAAGATTGTACTTATCCCCTTGCGGCCTCAGACGTGGTTATGCCTTCCAGCGATGTCTGATGTTGGGAACCCCTTCCCGGAATTAGTACCTCGCAGGTGTTCATCTGGGAGACTAATCTTTGTGTACCAAAAGGTCGCCTGGCCTAACAAACTTGACAGAATCGTGCCACTCTTCCAGCTTTCTCCCTTGCTCAGCCCCCGTTCATGTTCCAGTATTGTCATCATTCCCAACTTATCCTCCTTAAGCCCCCGTTGTCTGTACCCCCTGGGTCGCTCGAAGATTGTATCTATCCCCTTGCGGCCTCAGATGTGGGTATGCCTTCCAGCGGTGTCTGAAGTTGGGAACCCCTTCCGGGAATTAGTACCTCGCAGGTGTCCATCTGGGAAACGGATCTTTGTGTCGCAAGAGGTCCCCTGGCCTGACAATCTTGACAGAATCGTGCCACTCTTCCAGCTTCAGCCCTTACCCAAATATTTTTTCCTCCCTATTCCTCTCTATCTGTCGTGGGGTATCCTGAACCTCTCCTAACCCTTCACGAGTTGTGCCATTCCTTCCATCGTAGATAAGAGGTATTTATCTCAGCAACTTTTCCTTCAACCAGCCAAGTATTAGTGAACTTTAGAAGTGCTGCCCGCCGTTGCTCGTCGTCGTCTGGTAGGGAGAGTTTTGCCTTGTGCCACTTGCATAGAATCTCCGCTTGGATTAAGTCTTTAGTTTCCGCCCAGACTTTTTCCCTCGAGTTTGACGTACCTTCAATGGTCTTGCCGCACCTTTCCTTCCAGATGATCCACAGTGTTGCTTTCCTGATCATTCCGAACCAGATCCTCTCTGTCTTGTTGAGCTGGGTGGGGATGTTAGTCCAAAGGAGAAGTTGGAGGGGATGTTCAGGGAGGGGAGATGAGAATAATGAATCCCAGAGGGCCGATGCCCTTGCCCAGTATTCTGTTGCCTCTTTGCAGCGTACTAGACAATGGAGCATGTCTTCGGGTTCATTATCCGTACAAACTGAACATAGATCCGAGCTGTTGGGATCGTTCTTGTGTCTCCGGATGTGCAACCATTGATTAACCGGTAAGGCCACGTATGCAATTAGCCATTGGAGGCTTCTAATTTCTATTGGTCTGATTGACTTAAATTTTTTCCAAGGGATCTGTGGGATGTGGTTGGCGTCTTGACCCGTTAGTTTGGACCACCTGCTCCTGATTATGGGGTCCGGGTCTTTGGTTCTGAGGAATAGCCTGTAGCCCAATTTGACTGAATAATCCTGTATGTGGGTATCATTTTTTACAGTTTTGCTCCTTCCTGGAGTCCAGGCCCATTCCGCCGGGTCGAATTCCAGGTCCTGGATTGCTGTATCTGACCTGAAAATTGTTTTGGGCCACGAACCGGTGACTCTTACTTTCCTGAAGAGGAACATATCGAGAACCACTTCTTCTACATCCTTGTTCAGGATGGAAACAGAATTGTGTGCTGACCGGATGACTGGAAAGGCTGTGAAGGCAGCCAAGGTCTGCGAGCCCTTCTGCTTATGGGAGAATTGGTAGGCCTTCAAAGGGGACTGTTCTTGTGTCTGGACTCCCCACTCCCCCGTTTTCCAGGTCGGTGCTTCTGTTAGTCTTTCTTTCCATCCTTCCGGGATGCATCTGATTATTGTTTGTAGGTTCTCCTGACGCCGGTGGCATCCCTTGAGACTGGTGGTGAGTTCCTGATCAGAGATCCACTCCTTGTCCTCGTCCCGTATGTGCGAGATTTTTCAGATCCCATGTTTTATCCATGATAACCAGCGTATGCCATTCGGTTTGAGCGAGAGCGGGTGATCGCTTTCGTCTCTCACCCACGGATTGCCAAATAGAGGTTGCCTCAGTAGTTCTTCTCTGGTCCTTGGCTTCCCGATTTTCTTTGGCATAATTTCCCACCAAATCCTAAGAAGTGCAGTCCAGTACGGTGCGGGGGGGTTGGTTCCGTTGGAGGTTCCCTTTCTTTGTTGGTTTCTGCGGCCCGTTTTTGGGCTCCATTGTTTGTTCATTACCCAGAACAGGCCTGAAATGTTTGCTGGTGATGATATCAGAGCCAGCTCTCTAATGCTGTCCAGTGCCAAATTATTCCATGATGTGCCCAATTGGGTGAGGAGTTTGACAATCCATTTTATTTGTAGAGCTTTTGTTTCTTGTTTGGGATCTATAATGCCAAGACCGCCTTCAGAGGGTTTCCTAGTAATGTAGTGCCATGCTACTTTTGGTATATAATTTTCCTTGTTGGGATTTCCTGACCACAGGTAGGCTCTTGCTTTGAGATTAAGGTCCTTTATTGAGTGATCCGGGATTGTCCATATTGATGTTATGTACCACATCATTGAGAAGACTGAAGTGTTGATGGCCAAGGAGCGACCCAGCAGGGAGGTGAATGTATTGCCCCATCTGCCCATCTTGTTGATCTTTTTGGCAAGCATGTTTTGCGCCATTTGAGGCGCGCAACCTTCTTTCGTCAAGAGGATGCCTAAGTACCGGGTAGGCGTGTCGGGTGAGTCCCAAGTCATTGCTGCCTCTGGGCCTTGGAGAAGAGGGGCGTCTTCTTCGGATAGCCACCATCCAATCGTTTTCTTCCAGTTAATCTTCATTTCTGAAGCTAGTCTGAATGCTTCCATTGCTCTTATTAGGGCACTAATGGAAGAACCTGAGGCCCGTATGAGGACCGTAAGGTCATCAGCGAACATTATGACTGTTGGAAAATGTATATGGTGGTTTGATCCTGCGTTGATCTCCRRTAGTCTGTGTATGGACGRATCCTTGCGCAGGAAAGAYGCTATTGCTTCCAYGACGAACAGAAAGATTGGAGRTGCTAGTGGGTCCCCCTGACGTACTGATCGTGAAATTGGGTAACAGTCTGAGAGCATGCCATTAATTTGCACACAGCCAATAGCGTCGTTGTACAGGATTCGTACCCATTTTCTGAAATTCGGCCCTACTCCCATCTTCTCCATGCTTGCATTGAGAAAGACCCAGTTTACCTGATCGTAGGCTTTCTCAAAGTCGAAGAAAAGTATTGCCGTATTGATCCTTTTTTCTCTGACTTTATTGGCTGCTTCATTGAGGGTGAGTACATTGTCTAGTATGTACCTTCCCGGAATGAAGCCCGTTTGATCGATGTGAAAACATTTGTCGGTCAGGTCGAGAATCCTGAAAGCCAAGGCTTTGGCCAGAATTTTGTAGGGGAGAGTCAATAAGGAATTTTGTGAAAACATTTGTAGTTCCTTATATCTTCTTTTTCGCCTTTCTTGTAGAGCAGGGTGACCACACTACTGCTCAGCAGATTCCCCAGACCTCCTTTTTGCCAACTGTCATGGTAGAAGTTCAACAAATCCTTGCCTAGGAGTGGCCAAAATTTTACCCAGAATTCTTTCGTCAGCCCGTCAATGCCTGGCGTCTTGTTGCAATTCATGTTTTGGATTGCGAATTGCAGTTCTTCCAGTGATATGGGCTTATCGAGAGCTCCTGCCTGTTCTTGTGAAATTGTTCGATCTAGGTATTGAAGCATTATGGTGCGTACCTCTCTGGTGTTGGGAGGTGTAGGCGTAGGGGTCTTCGTTTGGTAAAGCTCCTCGTAGAAGCCCTTAGCTATGTTGAGTATCTCTTCGATATCCGTTAAAATTTCTGAAGGGTCAGCGAGGGTTCTCAGGCCTTCTATAGAGCTAGATCTTGCATTAGCTTTGATTCTTGCAAAGAAGTGTTTGGACATTGATTCACTTAAGTCATACTCGTTCATTCTGGCTCTTATCTGCAAGCCCTTCAGTTCCCACCAACGCCACGTAGCTAGCTCTTCTCTTGCTTTCTGAAAGATATCTGTGTAGATTGGGGAAGACGGGTCGTCAGCAAGGTTAAGTTCCGCAATCTTAAGAGTTGTTTCCAATGCTTGTTTCCTTCGCTTTCTATCACTTGCCATTTTCCTTGAGATTCTTGCTACCGTTTGTGCAAGTATGGAGTAGCTTTCTTGGAACCACTCCCACCTGTCGTGAATAGGTAGATAGTTACCTCTCATATTGTGCCAGCATTCTAGGACTCCTTCTTGGAAGAGTTGGCTTAGTAGGAGAGAGTTATTCAGTTTATGGAAACTGAAACCTTTCTTCATGTACTGTTTGAAACTGATGATGAGCTCAATGGGTTTGTGGTCCAGACCCGGGTATGGTTGTAACGGAAGAATTTCTGCGTTCTTGACCGTTCCCATTAGTGTGTCTAAGATTAGGAAGTAGTCGATGAAAGAGAAGGCCGTATGTTGAGCATGGTTTTTCTTGACCAACGTGAATGATTTTAGCCCCGGATGCAGAGTGCGATATGGTTCGACTAGATTGTGTTCCAGGATCAACTTCTGAATGGGTACCGCCTCTTGTGTCGACTGGTTGACCGTTGCTCTGGAGATACGGTCGGTGGATGGGTCCAATGTTGCATTCCAATCTCCTACGAAAATACATGGTGTCAGGGGGGTGATCAGTTGACCAATGTTCGATATGAATGTTGTCCTTTCATAAGAGTTGTTTGGTGTGTACACGTTGATTAGTCTGAATTCCTCTTCCTTCCATTTTAGATCCATCAGACACCATCTGCCCTCTATTGTATCCGCCTCCATGCCTACGATCGACCCTGCTGTGAGGAAGCGGGACGATTTTGGTATGAGGATGCTTGTTCCCTTTGTGCTTGTTACATTATCCGAAGACCATACTTCACTTGAGATTCCTCCCATCTTCTTTGTTAAGGTTTTCCGGATTCTGTTGTGTTCTATAGATGTAGTGAGGTATGTCTCCTGAAGCAGGATTATATCTGCCAGTTTATTTGTGTGCACCGTCAGGCCTTTGATGATGTCATTTAGTTTTGCTTCTTTTTCCTTTATGTTGCCCAGCCCGTTGACGTTCCAACTTCTGATTACTATCCCTTGTGTCTTCCAGTCTATGCGTGTTTCATTGTCATTTGCCCTCTTCCGAAAGATTTCCAGCATTGTGACGGTCAGACCGTGGTGAGACTGGTGATCAAGGTATTAAAATTTTCAGGAGGGGTCCTGGTCGAGGTCGTCCATAGCGGATGTGGACTCATCCGGCGGATCCTACTGTGTCTTGGGGGAAGCGTCATCTAGTCGGTATTCTCCAATACTTCCGCTGGTGCCTTGATCCATTGAGGAGGCCGACTTTGAGGTGACTCCATCATCCTGCCATTCTTCCATGTCATCCTCTGAAAAGTCACTTCTATAAAAGCTATCCAGGTCCATGGTGATTGCCTTGGCTTCCAGGTCACTGTCACCATTCAAGACACCAGAGCTCAATAGCTGTGCTACCGAGGCTGTCAGCAGTTCTGCTGGGATTCCCGAGCTCGCAAGGACACTGTACGGGATTGCTGTAACTGTTCTCCATGGTCTCCACATCATTCCACTCTTGAGTTGAGTGTTTGTTGGCATCTTGGCGATCATGGGAGAAAAGGCGTCGGGGCTGTGTCGTTCCCCTTCCCTCTGTTGGTCCTGCTGTTTTCCATGTTCAGTTTGCACGGAGCTGGACTCCAAACAGTCATGTGTTTCGAATGTTCCGTACAGTCCCAATGGGAATTCATTCGTTACCTTTTCTTGGAGGATTTTGACTACGTTTTGTCCTTCTTCCAGCCTGGGAATTGAGAAAGACACGTCCGTAGCCACCTGCCATTCTCCCTCCTTCTCCAGGTACCTTGCTGCAATCAGTGGACGCGTACCCATTAGGGTGAGCCTTGCTGACTTGGCCGAGGCTACCACGTGAGGAGCTTTACCATCTGCGATGTGCTGAATGGACGTGAATTCTGGTCCGTATTCTGCGTTCAGTTTTCTCAGCTTCTCAGTTTGGGCCATAACCACTGCTACTTCTTTTTCTAGCATTGTTCGTGTGGATTCGTCCTCGGCCTCTACTGGGTCTGAGTTCGGGGCTGAGTCTGGTCCCTTTTTCTTCTGATTTTTTGTTGATCTCCACTTTTTCGGGCGCAAATCCTGGAAGGAATCGTTGGTGTTGAGGACTGTCTTGTCCTCATCGGTCAGTCCCTGTTCTCTGGCTCTTTTTTTCTCAGCATATCTGAAAGCGGTATATTTTGAGAATTCCTCCGCCTTTTCCTTTCTTAGAGCCTCATACATGTTGCTTGATTCCTCAATACCTGCGACTGTTCCTATCCTGCTGCTCATTTCGTTCCTCTAGGACCTTTCTATGTGTTTTAGACAGGTTGCTCTGATATCGAAAGCGTGTTCTCTTTCCTTCTTTGCCTTCTTTATGTAGTCGCGCAGCCATTGGAGGGATCGATGTGAGTCGGGTCCGCTATCCGTGGTAGTTCCTTCAGACTCACCCTTGCCCTTACCCTCCTCGTTGTCCTTGGAGTCAGTCCCTGTGTCGGTGGGATCAGAGTCTGTGTCCCTTTTCTGTCCTTTTGCAGGGGGCTGCATTTGTCCCATTTCCTTGTCTGAATCTGATGCTTTTCTTCTCTTGGAGCCTACTTCTGCCTTTCCTTGTGAGTCTTTTCCTTCGAGTACGTGCTTGTGGCTGGCCTCTTGCTCTAAGCGACTTAGCATTTCTTTGAACGTTGTTGGTTCCTTGCTGTATAAGTCTTCTACCTGTTCCCGGACTGAATCCAAGTCCCATAATAAATCTTATCTTGCCTTCTCTTCCCTCACCACGCGAGAGTCGATCAATGGATTTGTGTTGATTCTTGTTGGATTCCCCGTGATCTTACCTGTTGCCTTCTTCTGCCATCTACTATCAGCGGGAGGAAAAATGTTGGGTTTCTTGACTGAGGGTTCCCGGTCTGCATAATGCCATACCCAGTCTGGGTCATCGAGGTTGTCATCGAAGACCCAACCATCATAGCTGGGGTCAATGATGAACCATGTACCCGGGGCATCCCGACCTCCACTAGCATGCTGGGGAGAAGTTTCCTTTCCTTTGATTGCTTCGGAAACTTTGGACAACTTGGATCTGTGCCCAAATGCCCGCGCCCCCTGCATCTGAAACAGATTGGAGAAGTCTTCGTTGAGACGCTGATTTCAAGGACTTTGCTCTCGATCTGAAATTTCCAGATGTCTGGAAAGACCGGGGGGTCATCTGTTTTGACTTCAAGCAGGGCCGTCATAGACCCACAGTGAGGTGAGAGAAATTATGGGGTTGGTAAAATCCATTTCAGGATTTTGTTTGCTGTGTATTGACGTTCTAATTTGTCCACCACCAAGCCGTGGAAGCCCGGGTGGATGCCGTCAAACTGCACCCAGAAGTGCTCCTTCATCAGTGTCTGCTTGTAAGAGACCAAGAACGTGCGGTTCTGTCTCTAAGCCGTTTGTTTCTTCCATTTTGTTATTGTGCAGATTGATCCATTGCAGTTTCTCGACTGCATCCCCGCTGCGATTTGGGCGTGAATCTCCTTGTTAAAGATCACCATGATGTTGTTGCGCCCCAGATTCTGCAGGGAGAAGGCTTCCCCTACGTCCTTGAGTTTGTCCTCCTTTTTTATCGTCTCAATAATCCATTTTCTTTTCTCTGCCGGCATGAGGTCTGCTCCGTTCCGGGTAAAGTTGAATACTACGGCATGCCTCTCATGAAGGTCATCCAATTCATGAATCTTGTCCTCAGGGTATTTCCACACAATCACTTCCTCTTCTTTATCTTCCACTAACACTTTCTTCGTGACGGGCACTCCTTCGACCTTGGTTCTATCTATCAGGAACTTAAGTGCTTCGTTATCAATGAGTCTCATTTGTGTCTTCCCTGTGTCGGTGGTATGGGCTGTGTTCTGGCCACCTTGCTTGGGCGAGGCCGCTAGCCAGCCCGCGGATGGAGAGGCCATTTTCTCTGAGTGAATGCTGATCAATTGTTAACAATTGTTATCAGGTCCAGCTGGGAGTCAAAATGGGACCAGGTCAGAGTCGAAGTGAACTTGGATCAAGACCGGGATGGAATCGAAGTGGGACGTGATCAGGGGCGAGGTGGGGCGGGTGGGAAACGAGGTGAGTTGGGATCGGAGCAAGTCGGGATCAGGGGCGATGTGGGGGTGGGTGGGAATCGAGATGAGATGGGATCGACGAGGGTCGGGATGGGTAGTAAAGTGGGAGCGGGCGTGGGTTGAGTTCAGTTAGGATCGAGGTGGGACAGGTTCGGGCGAGAGTCGGAGTGGGTTGGGATTGGGAACGGGTAGGAATCAGAGTGGGAATCAAGGTGGGCCGGGGATCGGGTGGATGTTGAGGAGAATCGGGATGGGGGATTGAAGAGTGGGGGGGAGAAAGGGTGGGGATCAACGTGGGTGAGGATCTGATTCGGGAGGGAGTCGAAGTTGGTCAGGCTCGGGTGGGAGTCGTAATGATTTGGGATTAGGGTCGGAATGAAATGGGTTGGGGTCGTGATTGACGACAAGGGGGGTTGGAATCGGGATCGGGTGGCAGTCGCAATGGGATTGGGTGGGAGTTGGGGTAGGTTGGGAGCGGGATTGGGGGGGGAGATTGAGTAAAATGGGGGTGGGGTCGAGATGAGGATTGGTGCTCCGGATGGGAAATGGTGAGAGTTGAGGTAGGACGTGAATAAGGGACAGGGATCGGAGCGGGTCGGGTTGTGGCGAGATGAGATAGTGTTGTGGTTGTGAGGGGAGGGGGGGAAGCGGGCTAGAGTGAGACCGAGATAGGCACGGGACCAGACTCAGTGCGGGAGAGGGCACATGGTGGACTAAGGATTGGGATCGGGTAGGAGTCGACGTGGGCTGGGGACGGAATCGACGTCTAATTGGGTCGGGATAGGGTTACAGATGGGATCAGGCGAGATTTAAAGAGAGTCGGGGTCGAGAGTCGAAGAGTGGGAGGGAAACGGATGGGAATCACAGTGGGTTGGGGTCTGATTCAGGAGGGCGTCGAAGTAGGTCGTGGATCGGGTGGGAGTCGTAGTAAGTTGGAATTAGGGTCGGATTGGATTGGGTTGGGATCAGAATCTAAGATGAAGTGGGTTGGAGTCGGGATCGGGCTATGGTTGAAAAGGGATCGGGTGGGATCGGGTGGGAGTAGAGGTAGGCTAGGATTGGAATTGGGGGAGAGACAATGTGAGTTGGGGGTGGAGTCAAGATGGGGATGGGTGGGTCGGGTGGGAAGTGGTGAGAGTTGAGGTAGGTTGGGATTGAAGGATCGGGATCAAGGCGAGTCGGGCTGTGGCGAGATGGGATCGTGTTGTGGTTGTGAGAAGAGGGGGGGAAACGGGCTAGAGTGAGACTGGGGCGGGGAAGGGGGCAAATTCAGTACGGGAGAGGGTGCGTGGGATCGGATAGGAAACGAAGTGGACAGAGGACGGAATCGGAGTCTAATTGGGTCGGGATTGGGCTAGAGATGGGATCGAGTGGGAGTTGAAGTGATTCGGGGTCGGGCGTTGAAGAGTGTGAGGGAGAGGGGTGGGAATCCGAGTGGGTGGGGAACAGATTAGGGTGGGAGTTAAGGTAGGTCGGGATCAGGTGGGAGACGTAGTGAGTTGGGGTTGGGGTCGGATTGGGATGGGTTGGGTTCGGGATTGGAGACGGGGTAGATTGGAGTCGGGATCGGACGGTAGTCGGGATGGGATCGGGTGGGAGTTGAGGTGGGTTGGAGTCGGGATCGGGCGGGAGTTGAGGTAGGTTGGAGTAGGGATCAGGTGGGAGTTGAGGTAGGTTGGAGTCGGGATCGGTCGGAAGTTGACGTTGGTTGGAGTCGGGATCGGGTGGGAGTTGAGGTATGTTGGAATCGGGATCGGGCGATAGTCGGGATGGGATCTGGTGGGAGTTGAGGTGGGTTGGGGTTGGGATCGGGTTTGGGGGGGAGACAGTGGATTGGGGGCGAGGTCAAGATGAGGATGGGCAGTGGTGAGGGTTGAGGTAGGTTGGGATTGAATGGAAGGGATCAACGCGGGTTGGGTTGAGTCGAGGTGGGATCGTATTGTGGTTGTGAGGGGGGGAGACGGGTGCGTGATAGAGTGAAGAAAAGAACGGGTCAGGGATCGAGGAGGGAACTGTGTGGAGGCCGGGGTCGGGGTAAGATAAGGACTTTGGAGGTGGTGAAACGCAATTGGGTCGGAGTGGGAAGTCGGAGTTAGGATGTAGGTGGGGAGGAATGGGAGCCGGAAGGGGACAAGATGTGGAATACGGAGAGACGAAGGGATCGGGATGGGTTAGTAAGGCGTTGGGAATGCGCAGGGGAATGCGCAGGGGAAGTGTTTAGCTCTCACTCGGGTGAGACGCTGATTCTCGGCCGGTCTTTCTTGACGATCCGATAGTCGTGATAGCAGGGTGTGGAGGAGGTGCTTCAAGAACTCGGCGATGGTTCGTCTTCGACAGCTGGTGGACTCCTTTTGCCTCATGGAAGTGCTCACCTGCACTTGAGGCTTAGCTGGTTGATGATGTGGACTTCTTCTGACGAGAAATACAGCCTGTTGACAGAAAATCGGCCCACCTCGTTAATGTTCTCCTCGAGGGACCTCAGATGACAGCACGGCTATCCTTAGCTCGTGAGCAAGACGCACGCACGTGGCACTATCCTGAGGCGCGCGCCCGTGCGCGCGCACGTGTACGCATACGTAGCCTTGCAGCTATGGCTGGGCTGGTCGCATGAAGGTTGCCCCTGCGGGCGAGGAGTACCGAGTGGGGGTACGGTCCTTAGCGCAGCGTAGCGCTAACCGAACGGCGCGGACGCGATCTCAGTTGTATGCTACAGTCCTCCCACCAAGACTTTGTTTCTACATTCCATATGTCTTTAATTCTGACCACCTCTCTCTCCACCCAAGATCTGCCAAAACAACCAGGGGAGTCGTGAGCAGAGAATTCCTGTCCAGCTACATCCACTATAAGAGGATTCTCAAAAAGAAATACCGAGCCCTTAGTCAGTGGATGCAGTCTCTTTGTCGGGAACAGCTTGTGCCACGCAAACAAAATATTTCTCCAAAAAACTGATTTTGGCCTTTTGTTAGTGTATGATCTAATAAAAAAACAGGCTGCAACATCTTCCTCTCGACTAAGAGACCATTCCTCTTTCAGAATGTACACAACCAACATCAACCAGGGGGGGTCCTCCTGCAAGTAGGGCTCTAACGATCCATTTGGCGAGTAGGGACCAGTTTTGTCGTTGAGGATCTAAGATGCTAAGATGCCAAGTCCACCTTTTGTTCTTGGAAAAGTGA